GGGCTGAGGTCTCACCTACCTGTTGGAGCTCCTGGTATTCCCATCAGTCCCGGAAACTAGAGTGACAGGGTCTTTCACTGAGAAAGGAGGTGGGGTTAGATTGGAGAGGGGAGCTGAGCTGTCAGCAAAAAGAGGGCTGACAGGAGTGGGAATGTCCTTGTGGGGATTAGTGTCCATCCATTCCTCCTGGAAAACTCAGTTCTGATGGGACAAAGCTGTGAAGTCCTCTGATCTGCCTTTTGGGGTCCTCTGGTGCAGCCTGAGTTGGCAGTAGTGGCCTATGCTGGGTCCTACTGTAGCCCTTTTGCTTTGCTAGTCCCCAGATGCCTGGGAGCCACGTGGCATAGTGCTGGAGTAGAGTGCTTCCCACTCTGGTCCTTGAAGCTCCTGAGTGCCAGCCACCCTTCCCCGAATGTGCCGTCCTATCTTCAGGGGCTGTGCTGACACATCCCCTCCCTGCCCATTTGTCACAGCCTTGCCTGACTACTGTGAGACACCATGTCTTGTCTTCTGTTATTTCCCCAGCAATGAACTTCCAAAGAAGTCCCTGCTTCTGGTCTTGGATGTGTTCTCTCAAGTGACAGGTTTCCTGAGGGCTGGCCACAGATACTTTTGCTTTTGTAGGAGGCAGGTAGAGCCTATCCCCAAACAAGGAAACTTGGGTTTGGCCTTACATAGGCCTGCTCTGCTCAGAGGCTACCTCCCTTGACTACCTCATAGTACCTGGGGCTAGTTTGAGAAAACAAGCCCAAGAAGGGAAGGACCCCTGCGCTCAGGAATACAAGCTAGGTCATCTGAAAAATAATGTAACACCCTCTCTACATAGAGTATGAAAGAAAAGCATATGATCATCTCAATAGACACAAAAAGTATTTGACAAAATTCAACACCCCTTATGACAAAAACCTAAGAATATAACTTGCCCACCCTGATAAATGGCATCTATGAAAACCCTAACATTAAGTAATTAATGTTAGACTGACTGATAAAAAACCTGATGTTTTCCCCCTAAGATCAGGAGCAAGACAAGTGTGTCTCCTCTTGCCATGACTCAGCATTGTACTAGAGGGTCCTTCCAGGGCAATCAGGCAAGAAAATAAAAGTTATCTGGGTTAGAAAGGAAGAAGTAAAACTATCTCTGCAGATGACAGGATCTTGGATTTAGAAAATCCTGGGGCACCTGTGTAGCTCAGTTGGTTAAGTGTCTGCCTTCAGTTCGGGTCATGATTCTAGAGTCCTGGGATCAGAGCCCTGTGTCACGCTCTGCACTCAGCATGGTGTCTGCTTCTCCCTCTCCCTCTGTCCCTCCCTGCTGCCTGTGTGCTCCCTGGCTCGCTCTCTCAAAAAAAATCTTTTTAAAAAATCCTAAAGGGCAATCCGGGTGGCTCAGTGGTTTAGCCCCACCTTCAGCCCTGGGCGTGATCCTGGAGACCCAGGATCGAGTCCCACATCAGGCTCCCTGCATGGAGCCTGCTTCTCCCTCTGCCTGTGTCTCTGCCTCTCTCTCTCTCTCTCTCTCTCTCTCTCTCTCTCTCTCTCTGTCTCTAATGAATAAATAAAATCTTTAGGAAAAAAAATCCTAAAGAATCCACTAAAAATACTTTTATAACTAGTAAGTGAATTCTGCAAGGGTACAAGATATAAAATTGATACATAATCATATTTCTTTACACTCACAATTGCACAAAGTGAGAATGAAATTAATAAAGCAATTTCACATAACAGCATCAAAAAGAATAAAATATGGGCAAATTTTTTAAAAATCATAGTTTACACTTTGAAAACTACAAACATTGCTAAACAAAAGTAAATGAATAAATGGAAAGACAAGCCATGTTCATGGATTGGAAGATTTATATGGAAGATTACACAATCCCTATCAAAATCTCAGCCAGCTTTGCAGAAATTTGACAAGCTGACACTAAAATCCAAATGGGAATTCAGGGGATCCAAAATAGCCTAAACAATCTTGAAAAAAGAAGAACCAGGACACCTGGGTGGCACCATCAGATAAGCATCTGCCTTCAGCTCAGGTTGAGATCTCAGGGTCCTGGGATGGAGCTCCCCCAACCCCCCAGTTAGGCTGTCTGCTCAGCAGGGTGTCAGCTTCTCCCTCTCTCTCAAATAAATAAAATCTTAATTAAAAAAAAAAGGAACAAAATTGGAGGACTCACACTTCACAATTTCAAAACTTAACTACATAGCTATGGTAATCAAGATGGTACGTGTGGCACTAAGGGCACCTGGGTGGCTTGTTTGGTTAAGCTTGTGCCTTCAGCTCAGATCATGACCTTGGGGTCCTGGGATCAAGCCCTGCATCAGGCTCTCTGCTCAGCACGGAGTCTGCTTCTCCCTCTGCCCCTCACCCCACTTGTGCGCTCTCTCGTTCATACTGTCTCTCAATATTTGGGGAAAAAAAAAAGATGGTGTGGTACTGGCATAAGGTAGACATACAGATCAGCGGGACAGGATTGAAAATCCAGAAATAAACATTCACATTTAAAGTCCATTGATTTTGGATAAAGGCAACGAAAAAACTGAATGGAGGAAGAATCACCTTCAACGAAAAGCGCTTGGACAACTGTATATTCACATGTGTAAGAATGATGTTGGACCCACCTCACACCACATAACAAATATCAACTAAAGATGGATCAAAGGCTTAAATAGAACTGAAACTATATAACTCTTAGAAAAAAAAACCACATAGGGCAGCCGGGGTGGCTCAGTGGTTTAGCGCCGCCTTCAGCTCAGGGCCTGATCCTGGGGACCTGGGATCGAGTCTCATGTCGGGCTCCCTGCATGGAGCCTGCTTCTCCCTCTGCCTGTGTCTCTGCCTCTCTCTCTTTCTCTCTCTCTCTCTCTCTCTCTCTCTCGCGCGCGCGCGCGCGCGCACGTGTGCGTGCGCACGCTCCTGAATAAATAATCTTTAAAAAACCCCACATAAATCTTTGTGACTTTGGATTAGGCAGTGGTTTCTTAGAACACCAAAAAGCACAGCAACAAAAGAAATTGAATATCATCAAAATTAAAGACTTGTGTTCAGAAGACATCCTAAAGAAAAATTGAAAAAATTCACAGAATGAGAGAAAATATTTTAAAATTATATATCTGATAAGGGAAGGGACTTGCATATAAACTATATAAAGAATTCCTACAACTCAATAATAAGACGAATATCCCAGGTAAAAAATGGGCAGAAAACTCAGAGACCTCTCTATAGACCGAAGGCCAATAAGCACATGGAAAGATGTGCTTGGCATCATTAGCCATCAAGGAAATAAAAATCAAAAGCACAATGAGATGATACTATACACTCACTAGAATGGCTATATTTTATTTTATTTTTTTAAATTTTTTAAAAAATTTTTATTTATTTATGATAGTCACAGAGAAAGAGAGAGAGGCAGAGACAGGCAGAGGGAGAAGCAGGCTCCATGCACCGGGAGCCCGATGTGGGATTCGATCCCGGGTCTCCAGGATCGCGCCCTGGGCCAAAGGCAGGCGCCAAACCACTGCGCCACCCAGGGATCCCAGAATGGCTATATTTTAAAAAGACATAATGAGTGTTGGTGAAAATGTGGAGAGACAAAAACCTTTGTACATTGCTGGTGTGAATGTACAATGGTGCGGCCACTTTGGAAAGCATGTTGGCAGTTCCTAAAAAATGTTAAGCATAGAGTGACCGAATGATCCGCAGTTACTATATGATCCTGCCCCTAGGTATATACCCAAGAGAAATGAAAACATGCCTGCACAGAAACTTTTAACATGAATGTTTATAGCAGCATCATTCATAATGGCCAACAAGTGCAAACAACCCAAATGTCCACCAGTTGACAAATGGATAAATAAAATGTATTCTATACAAGGGGATATTGGTAATAAAAAGGAATGAGGTGGGGATCCCTGGGTGGCGCAGTGGTTTGGCGCCTGCCTTTGGCCCAGGGCGCGATCCTGGAGACCCGCGATCGAATCCCACATCGGGCTCCCGGTGCATGGAGCCTGCTTCTCCCTCTGCCTGTGTCTCTGCCTCTCTCTCTCTCTCTCTGTCTGTGTGACTATCATAAGTAAATAAAAATTAAAAATAAAATAAAATTGTGCTGATGGTTGCACCACCCTGTGAATATACTAAAAACCATTGGGTGGTACACTTTAACTGGGTGAATTTTATATGAGTTACATCTGAATTTATATTATGTCTTAATACATTGTATCACACACATACACACACACACACATTAGCACACAGTCTGACTTGCATGCTTCCTGTTTAACTGCTTCCATTCCAGCTTTGGCCTGTAGACAGTCGCTCTGACCCTCCCCACCAGCCCCATCTGGGTCCTCTGTTACTTGCTGCTGCTAGCCACACACACACACACTTTCCTCCCCTGCAGCACTCTGCACAATCCAGTTGTGCTCCCCTGGGGGAGTGTGCCTGGGACTCCAGAAGCCCTTTTCAGCATTCCTCAAAGCACCCAGGGCTGGCAAAGCCTTTTGACCTTGTGTACCAGATGGGCCCGAGCAGCAGCACCCCGTAAAGAGGCTGTATGCCACTCCCTGACTTGGTCTAAAACCCAACTAGCCTTGGCCAGTGACTCCTGGAACTGGCTGAGTCAGCCCTGGGCCCTTCCTCCTTCCTGCTGGCCACCTGAAAGTTTGAGTTGGGGGGCGGGGGGATCCCTGGGTGGCTCGGCGATTTAGGTCTGCCTTCAGCCCAGGGCGTGATCCTAGGGTCCTGGAATTGGGTCCTGCATCGGGCTCCCTGCAAGGATCCTGCTTCTCCCTCTGCCTGTGTCTCTGCCTCTTTCTGTCTCTCATGAATAAATAAATAAAATCTTAAAAAAAAAAAAAAAGAGTTGGGGAGGGGGCCAGGTTATAGAAAGGAAAAGAAAGGTGCCCCCAAAGACTAGATGGTGTGGGGCGGGGAGGGGACAGGTGCTGGGGACTGGGAGGGGAGCCTCTTCACCCTCTGCCCCGCATAAGCACAGACACTCGGGTACTCTTACACAGGCTTTTATTCAGGAGTCCGGGGGTGTGGGTGGGGCTTCCCTTCCCTGGTCCCTGCCTATGGACTCATGGAACCCCATTCAGATGAGCTTGTCCTTCATCTGCCCTTCACAACTCCACCTCCCCAGCTACATCTGCAAGTAGGGGGAGGGGGCACTCAGGGAGAGCCCCCTACCTGCAGTGGCAGTCCATCCAGGTAGGCAGGGATCTCCCCTGAATCTCCACCTACCCCCTAAGATTAAGACAGGAGGGGCAGGAGGCGTGCAGGGTGGCACCCTGAGCTATAGCCAGCCAGGCCTCATGCCCCCAAGGTGTTTGAGGATGAGGCAGGTGCCCTGCAGCCTTTCCCTTTCAGAGCACCTTCAGCCAAGAAGCATCTTGTTTGTGGGGTGAGGGGCAGTGTGGGGGAGATGGCAGGAGGACTGCTGACCTCTTCAGCCTGGGAAGGCAGGAGGTATTCCTGGGAATAGCCCCAGACTCAGATGGCTAAAGGAAGAAGCCAGGGCCTAGGAGGCGTCAAGGGGTTTCTGGGAAGCGCTGAGATCTGTTCCTGGAAGAGCAGAACCATGGCCACCAGGACACTGGAGGATGAGCACAAGCAGCCACAGGATCACTGCTCAGAACAATCTGCAGCTAGCTGAGGGGTGGACCTCCATAGGGACAGAGGCACTCCTGAGCCAGTGCCAGGAGTCGGGCTTATAGAGGCCTCCTGGGGCACAGGTCACTGGCCTGGAGTCCGGCCAGAAGCTGAGGTCAAGGGGGGCTACTGGGCCACAGAGCAGGACCTGCCCAGGAAACTGTGGCCTCTTACTTGGAGAAAGACAATGCAGCGTGGGCATAAGGCCAGGGTCTCCCCACAGGCCTTGCCTTTGAGTGGTGACCCCTTCAGAAGATTCCAGCCAGCACGAGGGGAAGCAGTAGCAGCAGTCCCAGAAGGGGGCCCCAGATATGACCAGGGCCCGGGTTCAGCCCTGACTTGACGCTAGGTTTTTCAGGGCCCTCTGCACCTGTGGGGAGGGAGAGGCTTTGTCTCAGCCTGGACAAGGCTATGCCTGACCTCCCACCCTCCCTGCCAGGGGTGCAAGTGGGGTTCAGCAGCCGGGGAGGAAGCTCTTACTCAGAGGGTTCATGCCCCGCTGTGCGCATAACCTATGCTGGGGGCTGGGTGCTGACATTCTGGAGACAAGGAGGGAAGGTGGGACCAACACTACAGGCCTTACCTGGCAGCGATGACTGCAGGGCCAGGGTACGTGTGGCTTTAGCGCTGGCAGAGGTATTGGGGGAGTTGGACAGGGACTTGGAGGAGGTGTGCCCCATGTGGTCCCATGTGGCCAGCAGCTCACCTGTCTTGTCCTGGCCTGGAAAAACTGAAGCCAAGACCTCACTGGAAGGAGATAACTTTGCCTCAGCCTTGCCCACCTTCTGGGACTGGGGTAGTGGCTCCCGTGTCCCTGTCAAGAACATCTTGGGGTGTGGAGAACTCTCTGGGCTCTTGGAAGGCATTCTTGTCCTGCTGGCCTCTTTGTCTGCCAATTTGGAGATGGGCTCATGGGTTGATTTGGGGGAGGTAGCTGGCCCCTCATCCAAGGAGAACAGGCTGTGAGACACCAACAAGGAAGGGGTCTCAGTTGTTAAGGAAGGTGGAGCCTCCCTTGCGGTGGAGGGGGGCTCCTCCGTTGCTACGGAAGATGGGGCCTTGGTTTCTACAGCAGGTAGAGCCTTGGTTTCCAGGGAGCCGGAGGCCTCTGTTACCAAGGAGGCTGGAGTTTCTGTTGCCAGGGAAGAAGGGATACCCCTTTTGCCAGAGCCTGAAGCTTCAGTTGCCAGGGAGGATGGGGCCTCGGTTACCAGGCCAGGCAAATCCTGAGCCTCTTCCCCGCCCGCGATGGGTTCTGACAAGAAACAAGGCCCCGTGTTAGTGGTGCGGCGGGACCCCACATCCCTGCCCCACCACAGTCACAGTGAGGCGACCAAATGTCCTGTGACCTCTCTCACACAGACATGCTCTCCAGCGAATCTGTCCTTCATTGATAATAAGTTTTATTTTATTTTAGCTTTATAACAGTGTCTCCTCCATCCACCTCCGTGTCCAAATCTGCCTCTCTCCGCACTCACACAACCACTTGTCCAGGGGACTCTCCAGCTAGCTGTGTGTCCCTAATGCGTCGCCCTGGCCATGCCCACCATAGGCACCGCCACCCCGGGGACCCTTTCCTTGAGCTCGAGCTCAGGAGCCCACCCCCCTCCTGTCCTCCACCCTCCCCTGTGAGGGCTGAAATCCAGTCACTTTGAATGACAGGGTGCCGAAGTGACTGCTCAAGGCAGGCAAAGTGGGCTCGGGAAGCCGGATAGGGCGGGCCCACCACGGTCCCCAGGTCCCCGGAGGTGGTGTCCTGCCCAGGCACCGCTGGGGACTCCACGGAGGCTCTAGGACCACCCAGCCCGCATCCCTGGCCGCCCCTTCCTACTTCCCCCCACCCCAGCCCAACTCACCGCAGAGGGAGCTCTCGCAGCGGTAGCCAGATGGACAGAGGGAACACGAAGTGCCTTCCTCGTAGGGTTTCTTTCCCTTCACGTTCCCCCTGTGGGAGGCGAGGATGATGCTGGGGGCCAGGGCGGTCCCTGCAAACCTGAGTCCCTATCCCTCATACAGATACCTAGGCCTGAAGTACCCCGGGTCTTACTTGCTCCCACTAGCTTGCTGGGTTCCCACCAGTGCCCTCGCAGCTCCCCCAAGGGTATGAGGTATAGGCCCAGATTGGCCCCCTCCCACATTCTTAGGCTGCCCAACTCAACCGTCCCCTTGGCTCTGCCCATCCTCTATTCCCGGGGCTCCCTGGGCACTCACGGGGGCTCATAGTTGCAAACCAGCAAATGGATGTTGGTCTCCTCGACACCCTGGAGCTTCTCACAGAAATGGGAGCCACAGCCAATCCTCTCTGTCTTGGCCCAGACCACCTGGAGAAGGGCAAACCCAACAATTTAGCCTGGGTGGGATGCCAGTAGCTAGTGTCTGTCTACACCAGTCTTCTATGGATGAGAAGAAGATCTCTACAACCTGTCAGATCCAAGTCTCTAAGGACCCACAGCTTCAGGATAAAACTCTAAACAGGGAGTTTTGTAGGAATTTGTCCTGAACCACACACACTGTTTCACCAGACCTTTCTCTGAAAAAACTTCATTTTGTATATACCCTCATGAACTCCTCCTGTGCGTTTTCTTTGCAACTTCCTGTGCACTTTAAACAAGGAGTATATCCCAAAGGAATGAATCTCAAATGGGAGAATCTTAGATATCAGCAACAAACAAAATCCGAGAAAGAGAACAGAAGGAGCCATCTTGGATGTAGAAATTCCTCCCCAAAGCACAAGTGAGTGCTTGTGGGGATCTGTCCTGCTCTTTCTAAGTCTGGGTCTCCTAGCTGCTAGAAGGAATTCTGTCTTAAGTGTAAAATTTTAGAAGTCCAAACAATCTTTGTGCACCACCATGGGCTGAGATCAGCAGCCTCCCCTTGCTATTTGCAGGCCCTGGTCTGCTCAGGAGACACTCAAACGGAGGCTAAGTTTTGTTGTGAGATCCGACTCTGGCTATTAATTCTGCACATAGCCTCCAGGACTGGTGGTTTTTCTGTTTAAGTTAGCTGAGGATAGCAGTGGTGAGCATCTCATAGGCAGAAATGCCCCCAGAGTACATGTGCACTCAGCCCTGGAGAACACTGGGGTGGGAGTGGGCCAGACCCACTCCTGCTGGGCACTTACAGCAATCGTAGCAGGAGGAAATGTGTGTGTGCATGTGTGTGTGTGTGTGTGTGTGTTGGGGGTAGGGGGTAAAGTGAGATGTGGCAGGGTACAGAGGGAAGAGGACAGGGAGGGCTGCTGGGCCCTCACAACTTCTTCATCTGGGTGGGTGATGTTGGGATTTTATTCTCGAAAGATTAGCACTAAAAATACCACTCAAAAAAAGCACTGGAAAGTGGAACTGGTGAATATGAGGGGGAAGAAGGTTGAGCTTCCTTTTCTTTTTGTAAGAGAATTGTCATGCTACTGTTCGAACAATAAGCATTGGGTGGAGAAGAACACGAATTCAATAACACTAATGTTAATTCCCCTACACACCCATACACACTTGCACCCAACATCTCTTATCTGGAAATGCAAACGTTCAAAATGCAGTGAGAACACAGACATAAGCAAAAAGTGGCTGGGAAGGGCAGGAAATGCTCTCAAGGTCTCCCTGAAACCTTTATACAGTGACCATTTGTTCTTATTTTACACATGGTTTTGTTGCTTTTTTTTTAAAGATTTTTATTTATTTGAGAGAGAGAGAGAGCATGCGCAGGAGGGAGGGGTAGAGGGACAGGGACAAGCAGACTCCCCACTGAGCAGAGAGCTTTGATGCCAGGACTGGATCCCAGGGCCCTGGCACCATGACCTGAGCAGATGCAGACCCTTAAGCCACTCAGCCACCCAGGTGCCCTCACACACAGTTTGTAAAAGAGGAAGAACGTTAAACACACGCAGTGGTGTTTGCTTCTCGGTCCCCGGCTGATTAGAAGCAGCACCCCAGACGCCATGAGAGATGGCAAAAGAGGGACAGTGAAAAAAAAAAAAAAAAAAAGAGGGACAGTGAGAGAAGCCAGAAGCCCTGCCGGACCTGGGCCAGAGGACGGGACCCCTTAGAGGTCGGTCAGGATTGCCCAGGACAATAATTACGGCCCCCGAAACTGGCTCTGCGACACCTCACTTAGGTCCCCTCTGTACGAGGAGGCCCAGAAGGCCACCTAGGTTTTCAAACGATTGTGGTTCTTCAAGAGTTAACTGGAGATGGTTTGGGCTGAGTCTGAGAAGCAGACTTCCTCAGAGGCCTGCGCCACACATGCGCACCGTGGAAGACTTCTACAAGGGTCTTGCGGGCTTAGAGTCCTGGGGAGGGAGAGGAGGCCCCCCTCGGCCCTCCGCCCTCCGCCCCGCCCCGCCCCTCCGCCCTCCGCCCCGCCCCCTGCGCACGCGGCCCCGCCCCCTCGCCATGTAGCCCCGCCCAGTGCTCTGGGGCCTCGCACCTGCGTGTAGTGGCCGCACATCTGGCCCTGGTCGCAGGTGGCGGCGCTGAGGTTGTAGTGCTCGCGCTCGTGGTGCCACTCCTCCATGGCCAGCGGCACGTCCAAGCCGTGGCCCGTGATGGCGAACAGGTTTTCGCCGCGCCTCCCGCGCTCCTTGTTGTGGCCCCACACGCACTGCTTCGCGTAGGCCTTGGCGAAGGCGGCCAGCTCCTCGTTCCACCTCTGCGGGGCAGGTCGAGGAGGAAGGTGAGGAACGCCTTGGGCTCCGTGGAGGCGGGGGGGGGGGGGACGTGGGGATGCCCACAACTCTGGGGTCAGAGAAGAAGGTTGGAGGTGTCCTGGGGGCCTCTGCAGGCGGAGCCCTCCCCTCCCTCGGGGTGACCCTGGCCGTGATCAGGAACAGGTCTGTGCTCCTGGTGGGCTTCTGTGGGGAGGTGGGAGGCTGCCTCGCCGGGCCATGGAGTCAGCCAAACTTGGGACCATTTACCAGCTATGTGGTTTCAGACAGATTGCCTCATCTTCCTAAACTTGCATGGGCTTTGGGAAGAATACATGAGTTGATGTTTGTAATGGTGTTATTATTAATTAATATCCTTCTATGAACGGAGGACGGCTGCGCCCTGCATACCTCCCACAGCTGCCCGACTGCTCTGAAGACCACAGGATGTCCAGTAAGGTGTTCAAGGGCTGCATTGTTTATTCCACCACCCTCCACCCTCTTACCCACGCATCATAAGTAAGAGGGGGTCAGCACTCCCCTCTCAGGTCCCACTCTCCCCTTGGGGTTGCCCAGCCTCCATGGCTTTACCACCTCCGGACTTCCCTCCCAAGTGCTCTCAACCCTTGTCAACCTATTAAGTGTCTCCATGTGACCCTCACTGAGAGGCCTATTTTCAGAACTTTGGTGTCTCCAGGAGCTATCAGATCCCAAAAGCACCGTTCTCCTGGGGGGGACCTCAGGTGAGGCAGCCGGAGGGGGCATTTTAGGTTAAGGGACCCCTGAGGTTCTCTGTGTCCCTGGCTGGGAGGACAGGCCCAGTGTGGGTGGGAAGAGGGATTAACAAAGGATTGAGGAGAAAGGTCTGGATCCCATTAAACTTTGTCCTTGGCCTCTCCTAGAAATGGATGCCTGGCGGCAACTCTTGCTCCACCCTCTGGGGGCCCAGCCAGCTGTGGGAGCCAGACAGCCTATAAAGTGCCAAGAGCTTGGGTGACCCTGAGAGGAGGGGATTGTGTGGCTCCTCACCCACACAAGGCTCTCAGGAGCAGCTGCCTGGGGTGGGGATGAGAACACAGGGCTGGGACAGCCCCATTTTGTGACTATGGGTGAATCCCTTTCCTTCCCTGGGTGTTTTTGTCCCAAATCACTGGTCCCTGAGGTTGTCTCAGACTCTGGCGGTAAAGGGAGCTGGGGAGTGAGAAGTGGCAGGGTGTAGGGGACCAGGATCAGGGTTTCTGGGATGACCTGCGGGACCTCAGACTGAATAGTCAGCTCCTTCAGGGTAAGACAGTGATGTGGCCCCAGTGTCTGGCACAGTGCTGGCGCATAGCAGGTGCTCAATAGACATTTGTCAGCTGTTGATGACTGGCTCTGTTTAAAGTGGTCTCCCTGCGGAGGCTGGCTGCGATTCCTATTCTGCCTGGATGTGTGGAATCTCACCAGTAGAGTCATTCCTATGGGTCTCAGGGCTTCTCAGTCTTCCCGAGACCCCTGTGGATTTTTGAGTCCTGGCATCCACCCACACTGGCCACATGGTCACCATCTGAAAACAAGTCTATTCATTCATTTACTCATTCACTCACTCATGCAACAGTCTGGGGGCTCTGTGCCAGCCTGGAGGTGAAGCCCAAGTTCACATTGTCATAAACGATTGGGCTACCACATGGTAAATGACAGACTCACAATGGGTCATGAAGAGGCACCAAGGAGGGTCATTTAGCCCAACCTGAGGGTGGGAAGGAGACACTAAGCTAAGGGTTAGAACTGAGGCATTGGTCAGGTGGAGAGGGGAGGACATCCTGAACAGAAGCCATAGCATGAGCAAAGGTGTAGAGGTGAGAAACACCGTCTTAGCTGGGGAAGGATAAGCTGTTGAGGTAACTGAGGGAGAAACTGAGCAGGAGAGGAAGCTGGCGGTGTAAGCAGGGCCCCGGACACACAGAGCCTTCTCAGGAGCTGGTGCTTTATCCCGAGGCAGTCAGGAGCCATTGGGAGCTGTTGAAAGGTACTGAACAAGGTCAAGACCATGTGTTGGATTATTCATTCTGGCAACGGAGGCCAGAGCCTGGCAAAGCAGGTAGAGGCTCTTCTAGGAGTCTTGAGAGAAGTCTTGAAAGACTGGACCAGGGTTGTACCAAGGGAGCAGGATGTGGGAGTAGGAGTCAAGGAAGATCGAACCTTCTGGGAGGTAAAAGTGGTGACAATTAGATGTGGAAACTAAAAGAGAGAAAAGAGTCCACAAGAACTGCCACCTGCCTCACCCTGGGCCCGTTCCCTCTTTTGTTAATCACATACTTACTGAGCACTTACTATGTGTCACACATGTTCTAAGCGCTTTCTACATATTCATTCAGTCCTCCCAACCATCCTACAGGGGAGTTGCTATGTTGTCATCACCTTCAATTTACAGATGAGGAAGCTGAGGCACAGAGAAGTTAAGTAACTTAGCCAAGGTCACAGAGCTAATAAATGGCAGAATTAAGATTTGAGAGAAGCCATCTGGCTCCAGAGTTTCTGCATTTACCACTCCTGAGATTGAGCCTGAGCCTTGTTCCAAATTTATCCTGGTGTCCCAGCCCCTCCCCTCCTCCCATCACTTCCCACCGGACAGCAGCATAACCCCTGAATATCCAAACTGCTTCCCAGAATGTTGTCCCTCCACCAAGGTCCACCTCTGTCCACAGAGCAGCTCCTGGGTGATTAGCCCCCAGCCTCAGCCAACAAATCTCAAGGGATAGGTCAGGAAATGGAAGCCTTTGAAAGTAAAGGGACCCACCCCTAGTACTTTGCCAGATGGAACAAAGCTATTAGAACTCCAGTCCCCAGACCCCTCAGGCTCACTGCTCTGTTTCCCAGGTGTGAACTTGCTCTGAGGCATGAGCTGTGGGGTCCCTGGACATTGCTCATGAACCTTCCAGAGCACCTGAGGGTGGCCAGAGAGGATGGGCCTGCTTGGTCCTCAGGGAGAGCAGGAAGGAGGTGAATTTCCGACTTTATCTCTTTTCATCTTGACCATTAACATCTTGCCCCTAATTCTACCATCAAATAATTCTCCGTTTCGACTGAGGTAACCACCATCCCAAATCTGGTTTCCATCATCTATAGGCATGTCCCTGTGTGTTTACTACATCTGCATGTGTCCCCACCAGTATACAATAGTATATTTTTTTACATTTTTAAACCTTATGTAAATATGCCCTACTGTGTATGTATGTGTGTGTGTATATATACATACATATATATATATATATATATATATATATATATATATATATTGAGATTTCCTTCCCCACCCCTATCAGTGTTATGTCTGTGAGATTCAGTCCATGTTGATATATAGGTAGCTCTAATGAAGAAGATGAGAAACTGATGGTCCTTATTAGGTTAAAGGAGTCACCCCAAATCGCAGGTCTTGCGATGTGACCCAGACAGAATGTGAACTGTGTGATGCAGAGCCCTCTCCGCTTCTGGCTCCTGTTCTCACCCACCTCCTTAGTACATCCCTCCTACCCTAGTGCTGGGTGGGACCCATCCTGCTGCCTGCGTTTCCTCTTCTCATTGACTTGGAAGGCATCTGAAAGACCGTTTTCACCCAGGTGTTAGGAACTTGTGTTCCCCCTATCACAGGCACCTGGATTTTAGGAAGGGGTCACTGGAGTGGGAATCTGGGTCTCTCAGGCCTGGCTCTACCAGCTGAGGGACTTGAAAGCCCCTGAGGGACCAGCAAGTCCCTCTGAGCCTCAGTTTCCTGATCTGTTTAATGGGACTACTTTTGGGGACCTGTGAATTATATAATATGTCTCTGTCACTGACCAGAGACATGAGTCTCTGAGGTAGCTTCAACTCAGGGGTGGGAAGGATTGGGGGACCTGGCCCCAGCACCCCTCAGTCCTGGCAGGTGAGTGTCCCTGGCCACACTTACCATTTGCAGCATATCAGCCGCAGGTGGGGATGCCTGGGACCGGTAGAGGTTGTGCAGCTCCACCATTGCACGTTTCTCATCTTCAGTGAGGGCGCCAGCAGGGCCCACGGTGGCCGCCAGCAGCAGCAGCAGCAGCAGATCACAGGAGCTGTGCATGGTGGCCAGTCCTCTCAGCCTCTCCCGGCCAGGGGTCTGGCAGCTGGATTTAAAGTCCTTCCCACACAAGCACCACCCTGGCTGGGGTGGCGGGAGGGGCTGTCTGCAGGCCTGGCCCAGCTCACACAATGTCTCCAGGAGGGCTGGGTGCTTGGGTCCTGACCAGAGTTGAGTTCGCTCCCAGCATTTATCTCCCCTCAGAGTCCTTGGCAAAAGCCTTCTTTCTCTTGGTAACGGGGGCTCAGGCCAAGTGCTGTGTGTGTTCTGCAGTCCTCCTGAGTGGTGGACAGGTCCTCAGGGGCAAAATATAGTAACCCAGGTCACACCCACTGGGTGCTGAGGACAAGTAAGAGGACAGGAACCACATGGACCCTGCCCCTGAGGACTGGGCAGGATAAAGAAGCTGTAGTTGGCTTATGGGAGGACAGAGGAAGACAAGATGTATTTTGTAAAAAAGATGGGCCAGCCAAAACCTGAATCCTGGTTCTGCTCCTTTGCTGGCTATGTTTTTGGCAGTTTTCTTAATCAGATCAGTGGCAATAATAGTACCTACCTCATGGTGCTGGAAAGAAGATTAAATGAGATCAAATGTATGTAAGACACCCAGTATGGTACCTGGCACTGAGTAGCAGTAGACAGGAACTACCCACATGGCATGGCCTTGGCCAGCTCTCAGCTCCGTGAGGAGGCAGGACTCCTGCTCACAGGAGAAGAGATGGGGTGTTTCCCACTCTAGTTGTATCCTGGAATAGGGCTTTTCACTATGGTTAAAATATTGGCTTCTGCGTACCCTTTGTGAATGCATGTACTTGAGGTGCTTGTTTAGAAGTGGGATGCTGGAACCTTTCCTGCTCTGAATATCTAGAAAATTGAATGTGTCTGTTTTTGAAATCGAGAAAGCAGAAAAGCAGAGGGAAGGGTGAGCTGATGCAGTAGGAGCTTGGAGGGGAGGATATTAGAGGGGAAATAGGCCCAGTGGCCAAGCACTTGCACCATAAGGACCATGCAGGGCAGGGACCAAGGTCTTGGCCCTTCATGGGTCAGGAGTCTGGAATTAGTACTATTGAGTTTAGCTGGGATACTTAAAACCTGTACTCTTAGTGAATGGGGACCTAGAAAAAGCCTGCTCATTGGCTTTGGAAGAAAACCCATTTCTGCTCACATCTTTGGGTTAAAACAAAAGCAGAGACAAAGAGAGCTTGGATCACTCACACACACACACACACACACACACACCCCTATTGTGTAGAACTAATTTTAAAATCCAGCAAAGTTGTAAGATATGAAATCAACACACAACACAAGTGGTATTTCTATATCCTAACAATGAATAACCCCAAAAAGAAATTAAGAAAATAATTCTGTATACAATAGCAATACAAATAATAAAATACTTAGGAGTTAACTTAACCAAGGAGGCAAAAAACTTATACATTTAAAACTATAGGGGCAGCCCCCGTGGCTCAGCGGTTTAGCACCGCCTTCAGCCAAGGGTGTGATCCTGGAGACCTGGGATCGAGTCCCACATCAGGCTCTCTGCATGGAGCCTGCTTCTCCCTCTGCCTGTGTCTCTGCCTCTCTCTCTGTGTCTCTCATTAATAAGTAAATAAAATCTTTTTTAAAAAAACTATAAAACATTGCTGAAAGAACTTAAAGAAGATAGGAAATAAATGAAAAGACATCCCATGTTCATGGATTAGAAGTCTTAATACTACCAAAAACAATCTACAGAGTCAATGCAATCCCTATCAAAACCCCAGTGATGATTTTTTGCAGTAAGAAAAAAAAAATCCATCCCAAAAAATCATATGAATCTCAAAGGACTCCAAGTAGCCAAAGCAATCTTGAAAAAGAAACAAAGTTGGAGGTCTCACATTTCCTGATTTTAAGTTACTTCAAAGCTACAGTAATCAAAACAGTGTGGCACTAACACACAGACAGACATATAGACCAATGGAATAGACTACAGATCCCAGTAATAAACTCTTACATATATGATCAAATGATTTTTGAGAAGGGTGTCAAATCAAGATCGTTTAATGGGGAAAGGGCAGTCTTTTCAACAAATTGTGCTGGGAAAACTGGATATCCACATGCATAAGAATGAAGTTGGACCCTTACTTTGCACTGTATCAACTCAGATCAAAGACCTGTGCATAAGAGCTAAAGCTATAAGACAAGAGAAGAAAACATAGGGGAAGAGCTTCATAACATTGGATTTGTCAAGGATTTTTTCGATGTGACACCAAAATATAGGCAACAAAATAAAATACAGATGAATTTCATTCAAAGGATGAAATCAATGAAGCAGAAAGGAAACCCATGGAATGGGGGAAAATATTATCAAATCATATATCTGATAAGGGATTAATATATATAAAGAACTCCTATATTCAAGAGCAACATGATTAAAAAATGGACAAAGGACTTAATAGATATTTCTCCAGAGAAGATATACCAAAAAGCATGTAAAAAGATGCTCAGTGTCACCAGTCATTAGGGAAATGCAAATCAAAACCACAATGAGATATCCCTTCACACCCATTAGGATGGCTATTATAACAACAACAACAACAACAACAACAACAACACTCCCCCCAAAATAGTGACTGTTGACAAAGAAATAGTGAAATTAGCACCCTTGGGCCTTGCTGATGGCAATGTAAAGTGGTACAGCCACTGTGGAAGACAGTATGGTGGTTACTCAGAAAAACTAAACAGAATTACGTTTTGATCCAACAAGTCCACTTCTGGATATATATCCAAAAGAATTTATTTTGTTTTTTTTTTAAATGATTGGTGGGCTATCCAAAAGAATTTTTTTTTAAATCTTTTTTTAAGCATTTTTAAATTTTTATTTATTTATGATAGTCACAGAGAGAGAGACACACACAGAGACACAGGCAGAGGGAGAAGCAGGCTCCACGCACCCGGGAGCCCGATGTGGGATTCGATCCCGGGTCTCCAGGATCCCGCCCTGGGCCAAAGGCAGGCGCCAAACCGCTGCGCCACCCAGGGATCCCTCCAAAAGAATTTAAAGCGGAGATTCAAACAGATGGTGGACCACCAATGTTCATAGCAGCACTATTTGCAATAGCTGAAAGGTGGAAATGACCCAAATGCCCATCAGTGAATGGTAGATGTATACAATTAAATATTATTCAGTCTTAAAAAGGAAGGGAATCCTGTCATCTGCTACAACATGGATGAACCTTGAAGACATTCTGCTAAGTGAAGCAAGTCAGATACAAAAGGATAAATATTGTATGATTCCACTTATATGAGGGACATAGAGTAGTAAGAATCATAGAAACAGAAAGTAGAACGGTAGTATCCAGGGGCTGGAGGAGAGGAAAATGAAGAGTCTTCTTTTTAAAAGATTTTATGTATTTGAGAGAGAGAGAGTGAGCAAGCGCACACATGCACAAGTGGGGGTGGGGGAGGGACAGAGGGAGAAGCAGACTCCTCACTGAGCAGGAGGCTGGATGTGGGGCTCCATCCCAGGATCCCAGGATTATGACCTGAGCCAAAGGCAGATGCTTAACTGACTGAACCACTCAGGCGCCCAAGAGTCATTTTTTAATGGGTACAGTTTCAGTTTGGGAGGACCAACTATCATCATGATGATAGTTGCACAACAATGGGAAGGTACTTAATGCCACTGAACTATATACATAAAAATGGGTAAGATAGGGGATCCCTGGATGGCTCAGCAGCTTAATGCCTGCCTTTGGCCCAGGGTGTGATCCTGGAGTCCTGGGATCGAGTCCTTAACCGGGCTTCCTGCATGGAGCCTGCTTCTCTGCTTCTCCCTCTGCCTGTGTCTCTGCCTCTCTCTGTCTCTCATGAAAAAATAAATTAAGTCTTTTTTAAAAAATGGGTAGGATAATAAATTTTATGGTACATATATTTTACCACAAACAAAACAAAACAAAACTTGGGGAAAAAAAAACTTGGAAATTCTTTTTTAAGATTTTATTTATTTATTTATTTATTTATTTGAGAGAGAGAGAGAGAGAGAGAGAGAGAGAGAGAGAGAGAGTAGGGGGAGGGGCAGGGGAAGAGAGAAAAAGAGAGAAGCAGGCTCTCCACTGAGCAGGGAGCCTGATGTGGGGCTTGATCCCAGGACCCCGATATCATGACCTAGTCGAACGCAGACACTTAACCGACTGAGCCACCCAGGCACCCAAAACTTGGGAATTCTTAAACTGGTCGAGAGTGAGATGGATATGGAGTAGTAGTGGTGGTGGTGGTAGCGGGAGTAAGCTCAGCAGGAGTAAGTTAAAATCATGTCTGGAGGGAGCTTTCACAACCCAGGCCACTTGGACCATCCACGAGGGAAAACAATCCTCAGGTTTAGTGCACAATCAAAAATTATAAAACACGTGAGGAACTAAGCTCCTGTGAGCAGCAGCATGCAACACAAATGGGAGGATTTCTGTCTCTCAAATTTGAGATAATAGAACAATCTGGAAACCTTTCAAATAACTATATTTAAGATGATGAAGGAAATAAATGAGTAGCTGGAAAAGGGAGCAGGTGTAATTTATTTATTTATTCTTGGGTGGGGAGCAGGTGTAATTTAGGAGGGAGAGTGGAGTATAGTCGGAGAGAGAATGTGAGTCTGTAGTAGGAGAGAAAGCTACTGGGTAAAGTTCCAGTATAGGAGAGAAGGGTAGGAGCCACCAGATTCACAATGGCTAAGCCCTCAAGGGGGCAGCTCTTCCAGAGTGTTTAGCTGATGAAACTGCAAGATGGGGTATCTTTCCTCTAGGGACAGGAAAAAGTAGCGAGTGCCAGACAGCAGCTTGAGCTTGAAATAGAAATAAGGAGACTGGGATCCCTGGGTGGCGCAGTGGTTTGGCGCCTGCCTTTGGCCCAGGGCGCGATCCTGGAGACCGGGAATCAAATCCCACGTCTGGCTCCCGGTGCATGGAGCCTGCTTCTCTCTCTGCCTATGTCTCTGCCTCTCTCTCTCTCTCTCTCTCTCTCTCTCTCTCTCTCTCTCTGTGACTATCATAAATAAATAAAAAAATTAAAGAAAAA